TCTCCGACTCAGTCTTTCTCTTATTTTGCATGTGACCGCGAGTAGCTGAATAAATGTTCGCCGAGCAAGAAGCAACAACATTAAGTCGAAATAAATTTCAAATAATAGGATAACAGATTGTTCGAGAGACACTTTGTGTCTAACAATCTTCTTTTACTTCCTACTGCTGTCAACCGAAGATGTTGTCTTAAATTTATATTTTATAAATTCGAATAATTGCTTCAGAAAAATTATTAAATATGAAGATCCTGTTTCTCAAGAGCAATGTTATCTATTATCTATTTAAAAAACTTATTCAAAACTTATTCAAAAAACTACTTCTGAAAATATATTTAAAATGAATTTATGTTGTTTATCAAAATTTATCTGTATTCTTCAGTCAATTAATTATTATTAAATATTTTGACAGTATATAGAAGAAAGTGCTTTATTTACAAAACAACAATTACTAATAGTGACAATTTACCTACATCATATTGCATACAATCTCACTCAGTCCTGAGTACAAGTATCTTATAGTTATTTATAAAAAATATTTGAGAAGAAATTATTTATTTCTTTGAAGTTGTTTTTTTAAAGTTGAAAAATTTCAAATCAATTTGAAAAAAAAACATTTAGTTAATAGTAAATATAATTTTTAGTTGATTGTAAATATATTAATGTAATACAGCTATTGTAAGATTTCAAGAGTAGCATAAAAGTGATAAAATTCAGATTCAAGATATCTATAAAAATTTTTGAAAAAAATTTGAATATTATAAGTCAGACTGGACTATTGTGTTATGAAGAAGTAATGTCGATTAACTTTAGTTTTACAAACGAGAATAGTAAATAATAAATTTAAACAATAAAGAAAAAAATCTTTCAATTTTAAACATTTAAACTTGATTTTTACTACAAACCATTTTATTATCAAACACATGTAGAAACAATTATAAACATTTATACATACTCGTACATATACAGTTTGTATATAATTAAACTCATAAATCTTAACTCATAAACTATAATTTAAACTATAATAACTTATAATTATAATATATAACTATTTCTTTTTAATTTTTTAATATATTCATTTTTATGTTCTAAGAAGATCCATATTTCCTTTAAATATCTACATATGTTTCAATAAGGGACAAATCTTAAACAAAGTGAATAAACTGGATGAATCAATATATCAGCATTGATTTGAATGTTCTTTAATTACTTTGAGCTCCAAATAGAAATTGTATATCAGAAGAACTATCATAGACTTCATTTTCAACAAGGGTAAACCGTTGTCCTATAGTTTGTCATATGATTATAATCTTTTTCTTCTAAAGATTATAACCATAAATATAATATATGTAACTATTTTTTTTAATTTTTTAATATATTCCTTTTTATGTTTTAGAAAATTCATATTTCCTTTAACACATTGGCTCTGACGTCGTTCCCTAGAAATCGACATTGATCTTTTCGTTCGGCCGATGTCGGTCCCTAGGAACTGACATTGCACCTTTCGTCTAGTCTTGTCTAGCTTGTCGGTCCGTGGCCATGGATCAACATTG